GTGTGTGTGTGTGTGTGTGTGTGTGTGTGTGTGTGTGTGTGTGTGTGACAGAGAGAGAGAGAGAGAGAGACACACACACACACACAATTAACCACACATTATCCTTTGAAAGGATAGTTCACTTTCACAAGTTTTATAAGATTTAGAGCTAAGGGTCTGTAAGGAATCCCAGCTTTTCATATTCCTTGAGTCATAGCTAATGGGGTATAGGCCCAAGCAGAGACCTTTGCCCCTTAACCCAAAAAGAATTTGGGTCTCATTTGTCTAAGGGATTCTCCTTGAACTCTCCCACTTGATCAAGGAGGTCTCTGGCATTCCCCTGAGGCTATAGTCCCATCAACTGGCCTTTTGCCCAATCTCCCAATTCTGTCACCCTTAACCTAGCCTAGCTCTCCATTGTCTTACCTCCCTATGGCCCCTGGCTACTTCCCACCCTTGACCCTATCTAGACCCTGTTCTCCACCTCCCAGTCACTCCCATCAAGATCCTTCCTAGATCCCTTCCACAGTCTTTCTGTATATAAGGTACATCTTGTCTCCAATAAGGTGCTGAGACTCCTTAAGAACCTAGCTAATAGCTCACAAGTGTTCAGATTCCTTAAGAGTCTGGTCAATATGGCAGATCCTTAATAAACTTTGTCTTTGGCTGAAAGAAGGTTTGGGTTGAATTCATGTGGGCAGGACCTGTGTGTTGTGATTTTGGGGTCCCGGCACACCTAAACCTCTAGACCTCATCAATAGCTATACAACATCCCCAAGAATATCAGTGTTAGAAAGGTGGGCTTTGGCAGTAGAGAGTGATTTGGGATTCTTGAACTTACTGTACATTCTCAGACGTTTACAAAATGCTTCCTGAGCTCACATTCTTTAAGAGTCTAGCCAAAGGCTCAGATTCTGAAGATCTGACCCACTTGCATACTTAGATTCCTTAAGAGTCTGCCCGATATGACGAATGTTCTAATAAACCTTGTCTTTGGCTGAAAGAAGGCTTGGGTTGAATTTTTTCATGCAGGACTCATGTATCATGATTTTGGGGTTCCAGCACCCCTAAGCCTCAACATTTGGGGAAATGCCCATTTGGGGAAGCTGCCTAACCCCAAGTTCCAAGGCTGTCTTGTGCTTGGGCTGATGCTCTCAGGCTCTTGGTCCACTAGTTTGATTTGAGGCCATGAACCTGGGTACACCTTCCGCAGCACAGAGGACAAGGACGGATGCCCCATCCAGAAGCGTATGCCCAATTCTGTCAATTCTCTCAGTGCTAGGGAATTAGGAAAACTGCAGGTGCTTTTTGGTTGCCTGAGGCTTACTTGCTCCCTTCTCTCTATACCCCTGAATTCTCCTTCATGGAGGTCACTAACAGTTTAAAATATCTTAGCAGATTCTGGAGGTTTTGTGATCATTAAGGAGTTTTGAAATGCCTCCTTACAACCCTGGTCACTCCCTTCTCCCACTCCCTTCCTTTGATTCCAGAGGGTATCTGTTAATCCCTCTCATAGGAGAAGAGAGCTTCCCCCCCCCCCCCCCCTTGCCCCCCTCCAGCATGGGCCCCACCGGCAATGGCCTTGGGCCCTGGAGCAACCTTTGCCTGGAAGCATCACTCAGGTCAGCACATCCTGCTCAAGGTAAAGAAGCTAGCCTCTGAACTTGGGTAAGCATACTATTTTAAAGTTGTAGTTTTAACTGTTAATGATGAGATGTTGATTCTCTGTGTGAAATAATTTGGAAATGCATTTAACAAAATTAAATTCACCTGATTGGTAATGGGTTTGTTTCAAGTTTCAAATTGGTGAACTTTTTGTGTCAGTTATGTCAAGCAACTTCTCATAATTTGGTTACCCCTAAAATAATTTGGCTATTGTTGGTTATTGTTTTAATGTGTAAACTTGCCAAAAAGCTTGTTCTTTTGGCTTGCTGAGAATTTGCAAGTATATAGAAATAATCTCTTAACGACTGGCTTTTTACACCAGGATAAGTTTAAATTTGAGATGTAAATCCTGGAAAAGTTTTTCCTAAGCTGTGATTAGTGAAACTTGTTGTTTGAGGTAAAAGCTCATGGATTTTATTTTGAGTTGTCTGATGGATTATAATAATTCATCAATAATCAATGATCAATAATTCACCATCTGAGAGAAATGCCACAAGCTACTCAGAGAGAATGTGATGCTGGTAAAAAGTTAGCATCAGGAAAAGCTGAGAGGACAATTTTAGCCTCAGTCTAAGATGGGATCCTCCTGGCTCAGTTTCCCCATTATGTTTCTTTGAAAAGGAATGTTACCCATCTGGCTATTCCCGAGTCTGGCTATGAGGTGGATTTGATACTGCGTGGCTGGAAAACTGAATTATCTGAATCTACACAGAGCTCAGGGTGTTTTATCCTGTCATATTGGGCCCTAAATCTAGTCCCTGCTTTATCCTTTTATAGCAAATTTCTATAATAAGAGCAAGTGGTTAGTAAAAGATCAATGCAAGTGTGTGAGATCTTGCTGTTTTGACCTGAATGTATAGTCGTTCAATACCCCCAAACAACTGAAATTAAGTCAGAAACATCTTCAGTTAGGTTTAGGGAGGAGAATCTCAGTGATAATTGAAGTGAAAGTTAGTCTTTGGCATTCTTTTGTGTAACTATTGAATCCAGGGATGGGAAAACTTCTACCTGCAAAAGTGTTACTTAAACTTTAGAAAAAGTAACAAGATCAGATAATCTGGCAGGTCAAAGGTGAATTATTTTAATGGGGCTCTTACAGTTTTACTTCTCCCTATATCTGGGCCCTGCAGTCTTTTCTGTCAGATTTGTGTCTTCCAGACTACAGGCCATTCACCTACAGTTGGTAGCAAACAATGGGTACCAGCCAATGTCCCCCATTGTCCCTTGGATGCAGCCTGTGCTCAGTTCCAGTCAGCCTCTTTGGGATCCCCTCAAGACGGGGACAGCTCTATACCCCTTGCCAGCAGAAAGCAGTTTCAGAAGCCAAAACTTTGGTCCCTTACCCCAAAAGAATTTGGGTCCCATTTGTTTGAGGGGTGAATGATGGGAATGGGATCTGAACCTCTAAAAGGAAAAGACCATGTCTTTGGGATCTGGACCCCAAAGAGGAAAAACCTTGGACTTTCCCACCTGGCCACATCTCTGGTGTTCACCTGAGGCTGTAATCCTATCAACTGGCCTTTCATTGTGGCTAAGCCCAATCTCCCAATTCTGTTCTGTCACCTCGTAATTGCCCTTGGCCACTCCCCACCCTTGACCCTATCTAGACCCCGTTCTCAACCTCTCAGTCACTCCCATCAAGATCCTTCCTAGATCCTCCCACAGTCTTTCTGTATATAAGGTCCATCTTGTCTCCATTAAGATGCTCAGATTCTCTAAGAGTCTAGCCAAGGGCTCAGGTTCTTAAGATATGACCCGCTTGCATTAGTGGTACAAATGCTTAGATTCCTCAAGAGTCTGCCCAATATGACGGATGTTCTAATAAACCTTGTCTTTGGCTGGAAAAAAAAACAAAACATCACTTTCCTGATAGCAATCCTCTGAGGTACACTAGGATAGTTAATCAATCAGCAAGCTTCTAGTAAGCTCCTACTATGTGCAGGAACTAAACTACAAAGAAAGGCAAAACAAAACAAAAAACCATAGCCCCCCCATTCCAGGAGCTTATATCACAGTCTAATGGAGCATAGAACATCTAAATAACTGGGTACATAACAAATAAGCACCAAGTTGACTGGAGATGATCTGAAAAGAGAAGTCCTTAGTCGCTGGGGGACTGGGAAAGGCCTCCTGCAGCAGGACTTGAAAGAATCCAGGGAAATGAGGAGGCAGAGGTGATAAGGGAGAACGTTACTGACTCGGGGCACAGCCAGGGCAAAGGCGTGGAGTTGGAGGGAGAGATGGACAACAGCAAGGATGAAGGTGAAGCTGGACCTGTAGTGTGTGCAGAGGGAGTCAAATATAGGGAGACTGGAAAGGTGGCAAGGGCCAGCTTGTGAAGGGCTTTCAGTACCAAAGAGTAATTTTTCTTGAATCTTGGAGGTAATAGGGAGC